CGACGGCATATATCTGCATATGAAAGGATCACAACAAATCATTGTTTAGGCAGGAACACATAGTTGTGAACATGTTACGTACAATGACGGCTGTAGGTGTGACACCGGCATAACGTGCCTCGAAATAAGGCAATAAAAAGCATTTAGTTAATAGCCATGGTCTTGCAACCAGAGGCTTCATACCTCCGAACGGCCGCTACGTGGCATGCCACGTCCCGTTTGAGCCCGACTCTTGTTCATATCCTTACCACCATCCTTGCGCTTGTCCTATTCCTTGCGATTCTCCTGCTCGTGTCCTGTTAATGTAAAATGACAAGGCATAATGTCAGTGTATGCACCTGCATGATGGCCACTTACTGCCGGTGCCGTCTAGTCCCCCTTTTCCTGCTTTCCCCTGCTTGCCTGCGAATGAATGCTGCGCCATTATAGAGGAGAAAGACAGATTCTTGTTATGAAGATGCTAATTCATTAGGCTTTACCTTACACTGTCGTCATTGGAGGATCAGCGTGAGTATAAGCAATGCATACGCGCTAAACAACAAATTCAAGATAATCTTATTAGTGCAATGCGCGCAATGAATTACTGCTCTGAGGACACGGGCAGCACTGGGCCTTACGCCCAACTTACTCCCAACTCCCAACTAACCCTCTTACTTAACGCAAGCTCGCATAAGTTATTGCGTCAGAGACAAATGCCAAAGGAGAAGATACCCCCTCTAACGGTTGAAATACTGAACCACCACGGCGCTTCGTGCCGAGCCACAAGAGGGCCAAAGACGTGAGAGCTGCCAGACAGGCGCGCACACCGAAACTCCCGAAGCCAAACGCCTCGAAAGACCTCCGAACGACACCCCAGCAGCAGGGGCGGCGGACGCGCCACCTCTACGCAGGCAAAAGAGGGAACAAAATAAACGCAAAGCGCCAACAGACTGACCCACCGCCACCGACGCGACGGATCACTCAACAGTTGCTGACGGACGCCCACTGAAGGAAGGGTCGATAGGAAGCCAAAACATGTGCCCGCTCAGGGGTGACCAAGCGGCCAAAACTAGGGGCTTGAACTGAAACACCGGGTCTGCAAGAATGACCGCTCCACGAACCCAGGTCATCGACAGCAGAGAAAACGGACAAAGAAAAGACACAGACCTAATACGACAAACAACAAACACAAGGCCGCGAAATGGAGACACACGAACCCATTCAGCGCCAAAAGAAGTAGTCGAACTTAGTCCAGAACCAGCGGTGTTGGAACCGGCGGTACCATCGGATATCAAGCAAAGCGAAACCGCTCCGAAATCAGGGGAATTCCAGTCGCTGGTGACACAACACGATGAAAAAACCAA